ATATTACACTCTGTATATCTTGTGTTTCTTGTACGTGTACTTTCATTAGGTTTGTGAGTTTCTGTGTTCTGTTAGAGAAAATACGTTCAACTTTCGTGACTAGTATGCATGTCTTAATGTAATACACGGTCCTGTATTTGAACATTTCTAAATACAGATGTAGAAGAAGACTTTTTCTTGAAACGTCACACACACCGACAAAATAAAAAAGGATCATTCCGAATGTTTTATTATCCTCCTGTTAAAGAAGATGTCAGAGATTCTCATGTTGCTCGTTTTGGAAAGCACACAGATATTGGAACCATAACGTTCTTGTTCCAGGACAATTCAGGAGGAATGGAGGTGAGATAACAAATATACATTTTTTATGATTCTATATTTACTTTTTCGTTTATATTGAAGATGATTAGATATATGGAATTAAACAGCTTAATTCACAAGACAGAGGTCGCTGTATAACAGAATTCATGGATTGGGTCAGTTACTTTAAACAACTCAAACGGTACTACATGAACAGAGTGTGAACGTTGATATTTCTTTTGTATCATAGAAACAAACATTTCTTAGGGTCAGGTGGTAAAGAGTAGACAAAAATACTTAACATTATTATATATTTGTAATGTATTGATTGTTAAACACGGGTAACGTACTTATACTTGAAATATATTACCCGAAAAGGCTTAGCGTTAATTATTTTGTCTTGCTAACTCACCAGGTGAAATCATTGTAAGGTTATCTATAAGTATAAAAGTCGAGGGAGACGATGCACCTAACACTAATGGACACATATAACAAATTATTTATTATCTTCTGCCGTGGCCCTCCGATGGATCAGCTGTAGGCTTATGGGCTTTTAACGCTGGAATTCAGACCTCTATCCCTGGGGTGGTCACAGCGCAGATAATTCATACAATTCAAACAAACGAAATAATATCTCCTGCTGTGATTCTAGACCTGTTTTTTATATTTTATCCACAGTTCTAGTTACTCGTGAGTTGAATATTAAGTTTCCTAAAAGTCAGAGTTTACTGTCGTGATATGTTTAACACTCTTGTTATTTTCTAGGTGAAAACTAAGTCGGGAGAATGGATCCACGCCATCCCAATAAAGGATACTGTTCTGGTTCTTGTTGGAGACTTGCTATCGGTTTGGAGTAATGGATTATATCCAGCAACAGTGAGTAAATGATATTAATAGTTTATGTTTGGTAAGTTTTTGTAAATATCAAACACCAAAATAAACAACGTCTGAATAGGGCACCAATAGAATGTGTTTTCTTCCTAGTGTGACTTACAAATGTCTTTTGGAAATTCTTATCTAGAATTTATTATTCTTACATTTCCAGGATTTATTTTACAATAAAAAAGAACGTTTCAGCTATTATACTAACAGTATAGATGATATTTAACGTTTAAATAAAACTAATAATCGATGTTTGAATCCCCGTCCCACCAAGTATGAATTATAATGTGACGGTCATTAGTAAAAGGGTAGCACAAGAGTTGGCGGTGGTTGGTGATGACTAGCGGCCTTCCCACTAGTCTTTCACTGCTAAATTAGGGAAGGCTAGCGCAGATAGCCCTCGTGTAGCTTTCTGCGAAATTCAAACCAAATATATCAACGACTAAGTTTTGTTTCTCTGTGTCGTCATAGATCTGTGTTACGTGTTCTTCACCCACCAACCTGACAACTAACAGTTATCTCATTTTGGATTTAAAGAAATGCGTATATAATACAAAACTGTTTGTTGAATTTCAAGCAAAGTTACTCGAGGGCTATCTCCACTAGTCGTCCCTAATTTAAGTGACAAACTAGAGGGAATGTAACTAGTCAGTATCACAAATTCCATGTTACATTTTACAGTTTCATCGACTGCTTGTTCCGAACGATGAGGCCCAAAGACGACGAGAAAGAAGTTCCTTCGTCTATTTCGTTGTTAGCGACGATGACGTCTTAGTGCAGCCGCTCCATAGTAGGAGCCCAACGACACCAATAAAAACTTCGGATTACTTTGCTCAAAGAGTTTATAGTATTATGAAATATTAAGCTATTTACTTGCAAGTCTAATTTGTTCTCTAACAACTACAGATTTCGTCAGATAATTGCTTACTGTTTCTAATTTACCAGTTTTTTGTTTGTTTGTTTTTCTTTTCCGGTGTTATTTGTTATGTATGTAAACATACACAACTATTCAGGTAATAGAGCCAAAATCAAACAGCTTGGCTTATAAAAGATAAACAAATAAAACCAGGGTATAAACTACACTGTGGAAAAAGTAAAATACATTTTATTAAGATAAGTAACCTGATGATTTAGGATCCATACAACAGTACTGAAACAAAGTCTATCAAATCCCTTTTTGAAACCCTCATTTGTGTAAAAAAAGAAAGAAAGAAGAATAATGATGATAAGAGTAGATATGGATACCTAAACCCGCATCTTTCACCGCATGCAGTCAAGTTGTTGGAAGTTAGTTGCTGTCAGTGAAACATAATTATATTAAAACAGTTTCCTACAACCAGACCCATCAAGGTACGAAGAAGTTTCTTATTCGTAAACTAGTACATACATAATACGTGGTTAGGTAATATCGTTCATTTTGTAGTGCGTGCTTTATAACAGTATAACGTTCAGCATGTTTGAATGAGTTTATAGTTACATTTCTGTTCCCACATTTGTTTTTCACATAGACGCAAGAAACGTGGGGTCAAAGGGCCATTGCTCAGCCATCTTTTAAAGCAGTTTCAGAACCCCACTTTAATAACCTGAGTTCGTCTCAGATATGTGCTTCTAAAATAACATATAAGAACGGCGGAGAAAATAAATATTTCCAGTTCTTAAACACCAATTTAAACTCCGAGACCTGCATTGATTTTTAACAAAGTGCTGGTCACACACAAAAGTAAGGAAGACATCATATTATTTAAAAAGGAGTGTTTGGTTTTAAAGACAAGAATAAAAAATCTTTATACAGTGTGTACAATGCGTGGTTACAATCCGGTACTGTATATTTTATTCAGATAACAGTAAACTCGTGGGCCTACGACCCACATTTACAGGGCCCTCTTTCAAAACTATATAACAAGAAAATATTTTTAATTCAAAGATTATCCAGGTAAATGTAAGACTGGACTTCTTGGTTAGAAATTACAAGTCATGAAAATCAATAATTGATTTTTATTTCATTGCTGTAACTTACAAATAATTCCATAAGTCGCACACAAAATTGTTATACAAAACCAGAAACTACCAATAAATGAACCAAAGAGACTTTCAGAGTTAATCAAAGGGTTGACTGAAGATCGGCGATTAGTTAAATGTGATAATTTTTTTTAATAAGTTCTGTATAATTATGGTTAACATCAAGTCTTTTTATATACAAAAAGTCATATTTCTTAGTGAAGTACTTTTACTAAAATAAAATAAAGTTTTGTCCATTAATATATTGAGTATTGGTTTGGAATAGTCCATGTGCAAAGTAATTTTCATGTTAAAATTAAAAATACTCTTGGTCGTCTCAAATTTCCTTTGTGTAATCCCTTAAACCTCCCAAATGCATTTCAACCGTTTTTTCTTTCATTAAATCCTTATAGTTTGTATGTTATTTTCTCTAACCTAATCTCAAAACTGAATCGGTCAATTCGACCGACCTCGTAACCACAAAAAATCGAAATAAACCTAAATTAACCTTCTTTTCTTACTAGTATGACTTCAGATTGTTAGGACGATTGACTCGCAATCTGAGGGTCGTAGGTTCGAATCCCCATCCCATCAAACATGTTCGCCCTTTCAGCCGTGGGGACTTTATAACATGACGGTCAATGGAGATTTGTTCGTAAAATAGTTGGCAGTGATGAATAACTGCCCGCCCCACTAGTCTTTCACTGCTAAATTGAGGCCTGCCAGTGCAGATAGCCCTCGTGTATCTTTGCGCGAAATTCAAAACCAACAAAAATAAGGGAACTAGTTATTGTATTATATAACGTTTATTAATAACCATTCTATTTAAATTAGTTCGTACATTGTCATCGCAGTGGACAGAGCACAAATATCCTATTGTGTTGTTTCGCGCTGAAACAAAATCCTGATATGATTATTAAAAGCTAATTTCTCACGATAAAACTAATATACAATTTCTGTACTGTAACACGATAATAAAAATATATTAAATAACAAATTCACAATTATTTGTTTATTAATAGATTAAAACTGCAGTTTCTACTCAATAAGTGTATATTATGATGTTCTAGCATCATGACGTATTTCTTACCTTCTTGTATTTAACCAGAATTTTCCAATCACCAAATGTATACTTTTTTTTTATATTTCAAACCTACACAACAGGCTGTCTGTACTGTGGCAACCTCAGGAATTGAACTTTGAACCTTACCGGTAAAACCCTAAACTTGCCACTGAATCACCGAGAGTGATTGGACTTTCTACATTTAAATGTTTAGTAACTTGGACACACAAAAGAAGAAAATATGGCAGTCTTTCAGTTAATATTATATTTCGTGAAGATATACCCAATATATAGAGAGTTATAGGTATTAAATTTATAAATGCTTTTAAATGAGCACTAAAGGTCACGTGACTCGGTCAAATTAACCAACCTCGTGTTGGAAGAGTTAATAAATATAAATTAACTCAAACAAAATATGGAAATATTATTTTCCTCCACACTGCTTAACTAAAAAGTGCTTTGAACTAAAACATTTAGTAAAGTACTATGTTATTTAAATTTGTTTTTCTTTCATTTTCATCATTTACCATACCTCACTTAAAAGTTGTTTCCTCTTCTGTGGCTTTTTATATGCTTTCCACTTATTAGACCCCACTCCCCTTCCCCGAGTTGAAATTTCAGAAATCAGTTCAAAAACAGCTTCGTAAGCTCCTTGCTGCGCTTGTCTCAGTTGGGATTTTGAAAGTGGAAGACGAAACAGAAAAAAGGGGCGGGGGAGAGAAATATCAAACATGACACGAAGGAGATCATCATACCAAGGAATATAACCCCTAAAAGTTCACACAAGTTCAATGTAAGAAAAATAAATAGTGAAATAGAAGAAAGAAGAATGTTTTAAGAGGAGGAAATTTTTGCCAAAGCAGTAAAGAATTTTATATTCATCATGGAGAAAAAACTGCTGAATATATATGGCAACAAAAGAATTCAAACCGTGGATTTCTGTTGTTGTTTTAATCAGAGATGACGGGTTCGATATTAAAAAAGGAATGCACGTGGAAGGTACTAGCACAGCACTAACATGAATATGAAATTCAATAAATTTCATCGAATTTGATTTAGGCAATACCACGCAACAACTTCTGACAGCAGACGGACAACGCTTATCAATAGAGACATCAAGTTTTCTTTTCTTCTTCTTACCTTTTTCTGTACTTCCAAGTAAAATAAATAAATACTAAGACAATGCCTTAAATCTTAGGAAATTTGTTTTTCTACAGTTTTTCACTTAAAT